AATGAAGATTAGGAAAAGGTAATTCCTACTGATGAAATTCACTTTTTCATTCAAGGCTATATCAAAACTGTTGTCTGAAGAAGTCTAGGTGAGCTTGTAAGAGCCAAGCATCTTCATCAGAATCTAAAATATGCACCTCTAAAAATAGGTTTTTTTAAACTTGCAGCGGGCCCAGAAGCCTTGTCCCCACTGAGAAAATGATGAACTCCAAGAAATATATTGATATATATTGATATCAATATATCAATTGATATATTGAATTCTTCTGGAATTACAGAAATTCCAAAACAGAGACGGAATACTGCAATACAACCTTGCACTATGTCATGAAGGGCTAAAACATTTATCCAAAAGATGGAAATAAACAAGTTTCAGTGGCCTAGGAATTTACCTGATTGAAACCCCTTGAAAACCTATGGGCTATAATAATGAAGTCCAGATTTAGAAAAAAAATCAACTGTATGCATATTTTCTAGTGTGATTTCATAATGAATGAATTTGTCAAAATCTTATAGATTCAATGTGTAATCACATAAAACAAGGAACTGCTATAAATGGATGACATTGAATGTTAAAAGGTTTTTTAAACAATGCAAAAAGTTGTAAGGTTTATTGTAGACATCAAAAAATGTAATTATTTTACTTTGTCCCGGTTTATGTGTATACCACTGTATCAGAAACTGAGCCCCAAGTCATTTACACTGACCCATAATTCTCTCCACAACGGGATTTTTGAACTCAAAGTTGCGTTTCACAAAATGGTTGCTTGAAACACTATTTGATCCAAGTCAGTTCAATTCAACTAGCATCTATTAAGCACCTCCTACGTGTATAAGACACTGGGAATACAAATGAAACAGTCCCTGCCCTCGGGTAATTTATGTTCTACTGAGAGGGGAGGGAGAACATGTACATGGACAAGTAAATACAGTATAATATGTACACATATGTGTATACATATATTTACATATGTATATATACTATACATAGGTATGTATATGTGTAAATGTAGACATATATATACACAAAAAGTAAATACAAAGTAATTTCTGAGGGGTGGGGAAAGCACCAACAACTGGTAGTAATCAGAAAAAGACAGTCCTATAGAGTGGGAACCTAAGTTGAGCCTCGAAATGAGTATTTTAATTATTAATCATGTAGATTCACAGTGAAAGAGTAGTACATAGTAGAAGAATCATGGGCCTAGATTCTACTCTCTGTTTCACTATTTACTAGTTATATGACCTTAACTTCTAAGCCTTCAGTTTACTTAACTGGGGGAAAATGTACTTAAAATGGGGAATGATACTATCTACCTTACTTCCAGGAGTATTTTAAGGGTCCAAAAGGAATGTGAAAGCACTCTTGAAACTGTGAAGCACTATTAAATGTTACAGATTCAAAATTTTTCAAAAAAAGTTTGTTAAAGGATACTGTCTCTTCTGAGCTGTTCTTGAAGCTCCCAAGCTTCTAAGAATTTTCAAATGAATTATACACAAGTATCAGTTACTTGGGTTTATAATATTTTCCCCCTATGAAATGTTTAGTTGTGTCTAATTCTTTGTGACCTCATTTTGGGGTTTTCTTTGCAAAGATATTGGAATGGTTTGCCATTTCCTTCTCTTGCTCATTTTATAGATAAGGAAACTGAGGCAAACAGGGTTAAGTGACTTGTCTAGAGTCATACAGCTAGTAAGAGTCTGAGGCCTGATTTGAATTCATGAAGATGAGTCTTCCCAACTCCAGGTTCTATTCACTGTGCCACCTAGCTGCCCTCCTGTGAAAATGTGGTGATGATAAAATTTTGGACATTAATTTCAGTTATTCAGAGCAAGCTCCAAATCTGATTAGCTGTCAAGATAGACTGGAAGTACTGGAAGAACTTAAAAACTAGGGAGATTCCTTTATTAAACCATCATTTTCATTATTTTCTATGGAAAAAGTTGCTGCCAGAATTTGAACTTCTATAAGTTAAGTCCAGCATTCTAAGTAAATAAAAGATTGATCTTGTAAGCAGTGTCATTTGAAACAAATACAGCTCAAAATTGTTTATTCTGTCATTCTCTTATGTTCTGAAACTACACTAAAAAATAATTGTGAAGGTTGTGTCTCCAACTGGCTCTATGATCTTGGGCAAATCACTTCTCCTTGCTAGAACTCAGCTTTTTCATCTGTAAAATAAGTGAGCTAGAGTAGAAAGAACCTCTAAGGTTCTTTCCAGTTCTATAGTTCTGTTATGAATAATAGTTTGAAAGTTAACTCCTATCTACTTTATTTTACTTTGTATCAGCAGCATATTATGGCACAGCCTGGATGTAAGTTATTATATATTGTTTGCCTGATCCCTTTTTGTATCTTTTGTGATTTGTACTTTTCACAACAGGCATCATCCATCTACTTACAAAGATTTCCCTAGTCTCTGGTTGGTTTTCAGTTGCCCATGGTGGTGAAAGTACCTTTGTAAAGGGAATGCTTTTTGTGAAGACAAAAGCATGGGTGCTCACCCAGCTGGGCTCTAGAAGCACCTCAGACTATAAATGCCCAACATAATTACAGGGAGGGTCATAATATAATAGATAGTCTTGTGAATTAAATCAAAACTCAGAAATGATTGGGATTCACATATAATCATTAGTAGAAAAAAAATCCCCAGCAGTAATCTCACACTTATATGCTCAAAGATTTGCGAAGTGCTTTATAAATCTTTTTTCATTTGATCCCATCAAACCTGGCATGTGGGTGATATTTTCATTTTACAGATGAGGAAATAGGCTCAGAGAAATTAGGCCTTTCCACATTAAGTATCCAGAAACTACCAACTCCACAGGGTTGTTTTGAGGAAAATTCTTTGTGAAAAATCAATAAAATGGAAACCTCTGTTCCCTAAACACCCACATAAAGAGTTCCCTGGGCAAGTGTTTTCTTTGGTAAGGCTAAAACCAAACTAACTAACTAACAATCTAACAATCCCATTTATCCACTCCAATCTGGATGATTTCCTCAGTACCTCCAGAGATCCCACTCATCATTACCTGTGCCTTTGCTTTTTGTCATGGTCTTTTCCCAATCCCCCCACTTGAACAAATCCTACCCAACCTTTTTCAAAGCCCAGTTTAAGTCCCTTTGTCTCTATGAAGCCCTATTCCAAAACTCTAGCCTCCAATGAACTCACTCTAATTCCTTTCACGCTTATATTATATGCCACACCACTCAGCACATAATATACTGTCACTTATTGTCCTTTAATTGTATCCCAAATGGGTTGTAAATTCATATAGGCAGAGGTGAGTGCCAGCTCCAGGCTGGGGTGGGGATTTGGGGGAGAGGGGAGGGAGTAATGACTAATTGTTAAATTTTCAGTGTGAGCATTTATACCATGTAAATCCACAAATCAGGGTCCTTGACTTACTGTTTTGTTGACTGTCTAGACTTAAGAAAGTGATGGAGAAAATATTAACAATGCAGACTAAACTTAAAAGTATGTGTGGGCACATTCCACTCCCCTCCCCTCAAGCTAGCTGTTAAATATTTACCAGTACACCGATGTCTTATACTTTGGTTCTCTCCATCATCTACCAGTGCTGTGAACACCATAGGTACTAAACATTGTTTCTTGATGACTTATTTCACATCAAAAATTATTATTAAAGGTTTATCCTCATTACCTCTTCTTCTTCCTCAAAATACACACACACATATCCACCCAGTTTTTCTGGCCTTATCTATCAATGGAACGAGGTAATGGGAATCTGAGACCCAAAGTTGGCACTTTATTGGAGATAATATGGTGCATCTTTTGTGCTAAGATCCCCGGGGATATTTGTGAGAACGGTTTGTTTCAACAGAGCATTTCATAAAACAAGAGTTGGTAGCAAGTTCTCCTCACTAACAATTTATGTGGGCTTCACAGCATGTACAGGAGAGCAAGGCTAAGTGGAACAGTAACCGCCAACACCTCTCCAGGCTCTGGCAGGATCAGAAAAACCAGTCTCGGGGTCTTCTACGGCGTGTCCTAACAGTTTCAGAAAAAACACAGCCGGCGCGGGTTTTCCAGCTGGACAGCAGCAGCCTCTGGAGACTGGGGAGAACAAGCCCTACTTCTCAAGAAGAAACCCTACATAGCAAATACCTCTGCACCCCAAGGGAGGCTCCTCCTAGGCATCAGAATCCCCAGGGCTCCTCCTAGGCGATTGAACCTATTGGTGCAGAGGACAGAGTTTTCTGAGACACTCAGACTCTTGGGAAGGCCGGAGCTCTAGTCCCAGCTTTGCTCCCGAGTTAGGCCAACAACATTCACTTGTTCTGGGCCTCAAACTCCTCATCCGTAAAACAGGTATAATGACAGCCGAGAGCCAACCCCGGGTGCTTGACAGTTGATGTCAATGTATCTGAAAGTTATCTGAAAAGTAGAGGGCGAAACACTTATGGCAGTTCCTGTTGCCTGCCCAGGCTAGGCCGGACGGCGCCGCGCCGGCCAGGACGGAAGATGCGCGGCGAAGCCCCTTAAGGCCTCCGCGCAGACAGAAGCGACCCCAGCTGCCAGAGGCCGACCCCTTCCAACTCTCGCAGCTCTCCCCCGGGCATCGCGAGATCCCACTCCTAGCCCCCCCCACCCGCGTCATCTTCTCCGGCGGCCGCGGTGGCGGCGTCGGCGGCAGCATCAGCGACATCACACCGTCCGACGGTATCCTTCCGCCGTGCCTTCCAACTCCACTTCCTCCTCAGCCTTTTCTCCATCCGTTCCCTCCAGTGTAGCACCATCGTTGGCATTCCGTCAGTCCTGCCTGGCTGCCTTTCGAGGAAGCGACCTCGCCGCCGAGAAGGCCCCCAGGTCCGGAGGGAGCGGCGCGGACTACTCTCTCCCTCCTTGGCGGAAGGATCTGCGGAGGCGGTGTCGGCGCAGCAGCAGCAGCGGCGGCGGCGGCGGCGGCGGAGGAGGAGGAGGAGGCGGTGGCGGCGGCGGCGGCAGTGGCGGCGGCGGCGGCGCCGGTGGTGGAGGAGGCAGCAGCAGCGCATAAAGGGGCCGCCGCCGGGTGATGCGGTCCTCACTGCGGTAGCGCCCAAGAGCCGAGTCCGGGGATCTGCCAGAGGGGTCCACCCCGCCCCCTCCCCTCCCCCTACCCCTCGTTCCTCCCCCTCCCTGCCGCTGCGGCCTCCCAGCCCGGGCACCACACTTCCCTCCATCCCTCCTCCTCCCCAATCCCCTTCCCTGCTCCCCCTGCCCCGTCGCTGCTGCCTGCTGCCGCCGACCCCTCTTCTCCGGGCCGGTGCCGCTCCCCGTCTTCCCTAACCCCTCTTCAACCTCTTTCCTCCTCTCCCCCCTACGGCAAAAAATCGCCGCGGCCTAGCTCCCTCCACCTTCCCCTCCTCCCCTCCCCGTCCCTCTCCCCTATCCCCGTCCTCGCCCCGGGGTCCGCCGCCGCCCGTTTCACACAATGGCTCTGAAGAGAATCCACAAGGTAAGGGCCGGGCCCGAGGCCGGAGGGGCCTAGTCGGGCCCAGCAGGTCCGGGCCCGCGGTGCTGCTGCTGCTTCCCTTCCCTTTCTCGCTGGGACCCCTGCTGCCCCCCCACCCCGGACCACACAGCCCGACCTCTTCCCAGGCTTATCTGGTTGGCAGGGCGGGGGCTTCGTGGGGGGGGGAAGGGCCCTGCCAAGGGTTTCTTTTTTCCTCCCCCACTCCCAGTGATGGCGCCCGGGGAGGCCCGGGGTTCCCTGCCTGCTGCTAGGCCAGAGTCTGGCTCCGCTCAGCAAGCTTTTCGCGGAAGCCCACCCCCCCCACCCCCGCCACTTGCAGCTCTGGCTCTAAATCTTCGGGGTCCCACTCTCTTGGGTCATCCTCTCCAACCCCACCCCACCCCCACCCCCCGTAGCTGCGCCTCGGGGCTATTGTCCCGTAGGAGGTGGAGAGGAAGTGTGGGGTAGGAAAGTGGCCTCTTCATTTCCCCTCTCCCGCCTCCTCCAGTCCCCCTTTAGGTGGGCTAGACCTTCCCGTCTGAAGCCAGATCTAGGCCTGGTAATGAGTGAGAAACGAAAGAAAAGGCTTCCCCACCCTGTTGGGAGAACTAAAAACCCGGTGGAAGGTCGACACACATCCGCACACTCAGATTGTCGAGAAACTGTTATTGCAGGAAGTTAAGAAGGAAATAATGTGCTTTATCTGAGGGAGGGGGAGTAGAGGGAGCGCCGTTTTATTCCCTTTAGGTCGCCATGTGTACAGTCAGCAGCCTCCATTTCAGTTTGAAGTAGAACTCCTGCAAGTAGAAGATCTTTAATTTTAAAAAGGAGAATCAAACCTCTAAAGTCAGTAAAGGAATTTTGCAGAATAACTTTTCAAAAATGATTATGCATTTCCATGGAACGTGGGCATTTTTGTTCAGTCTCTATCATTACTCTTCCTCTTTCGTATAGTTGGGTTGAGTTTTTGATGGGTCAGCTTACCATTAGGTACTTCGTGATAAATTCTGTAGTTCAGGGGATAAATTTTGATGACAGTTGGAGGATAAGAAGTTTTTCCCATTGACATGAACCAAAAGTGAAGCATCAACCTATACTGTTTGTTGCTGCTACTACTCAGTTATGGCTTCTCTGTACCATTTGGAGTGGATTATTTTCTTAGAAATAGAAAGGCACCCATAGTAACTTTGATTTTGTGCATCAGTTAAATACTTAGTATTTTGGCAGTACAAGGCCTAGTGAAACATACATGGTATTTAAAATGTAAACTACTTTGAACTGGACTTCATACAGCAGTAGGCACCAATGTGATTCTTGATCTCAAAGAACTTCTGTAATTTGAGATTGCTTCTAGTTTTTCTTCTGAAGTAGATTGTCTAATGGTCTTCTTGGTTTCTAATCAGTTAAAATCAATCTCTGGCCGAATGAAGAAACAAACTAATTTTGGATAAGTAAAGATTCCTTAGGTGACTTCAACTTTTCATTGTTTAAACTGATAAATATTAGACTTTTCAACTATATTCTTTTTTATTTCTACTGCAGTATGATTTTTAACTCTTCAAGAAAAAAAAAATAAAGACTTCACAGAATCTGAATTGAAAGGGAATTTTGCCTACCTAATTCCGAATAAGAATCCTTTCCTTAACATACCTGGCCCAATACTTGCTAGGCAGCCAGTAGTATTCTTAGAGTTAAAGTTTTTTAAACTTAGTTTTTAAACTGGAAAGAACCTCAGATCATCTGGTCAGTCCTTCATTTTCCAGATAAAGAAACAGGCCATTAGAAGTTAAGCAGTTTGCCTAAAGTCATTTGAGTGAATAAATGGCTTGAACCCTGGCCCTTTAAAGACCTTCATACTTGTTATATTAAACTTTTATGTGGCTTCTTTAGTCCTCACCCCAATAATTAGTCTTGAGTTTCTTCAACTTTAATATCCCTGAAATCTGACATTAGGATAGGCATCTGATTATATCTGAGAGCATGATGTAGACATTCTAATATGCCATGCCTCATATTCGTTAATAAAGTTGTGTGTTCCATGGTTCAGTAGTGCATCAGTTTATCTGACACTGTGAAAGGAACTTTCATGAAACATTCTCATGAATGGCAACACTTCGTTTGAATCATTTTGGTGAAATTCATCTAAAAAGCACCCTTCTTTGTCCTAACAATGTCCTCAATATAAGCTGTCTTTTCTTGATGATTCAGGGGCATTATCATTGCACTGTGTTGTATATATAATGATGCCCTGAGGAGTTATTGAGAAACTCTTTTTAAAAGTTCCAGATTATTATATTTATAGTGGTTTTAAGTCTCTTCAGTTCATACATTTGGTGCCTACTATGTACAAGGTACTATATATCCTTTTTAATCCTTGTATCACTTCCTATTGTTTGCTGTCATTGTTCCTTCCTCTAGCATTGCCACTCTTGCCTTCTCATTTGCTGTTTCAAAGCTTGAGAGGCCTAAGAAACCAGATCATACTTCTTAGATTATCATTGAATAGGCTCAGAGTGAAGTGCTTGAGCCTTTGTACCTGAACTTTGTGACTTCTGTCTTGGCTGCCTCTAGACTCTTTGAAGGTGTGCTGGATAATAGGAAGTCAGATAATCACCAAACATATTAAGCACCTACAATGGGCCAGATACTATGTAGGGGATAGCAAAGGAATGAAACAGTTTCCTACTCTCAAAGTGATGAGTGAACTCTTATTAAAAGTACAGTTCTTGAAAGTTATTTTTTGAAAATTCAGTAATGCTAGCTATATTTATTACCTTATCTTATGAAGAGTAGAAAGTTGACCCTACCAAACTGGGAAGGACTGCTTTAGTGAGGTCCAAGAAAACCTAAAGTAAATCACCAAACTAGATTTTTAAAATATTTTTGTACCTATTGTATAATTAAAGCTATACTAATTAGTATAGGGTATAATACTTTTTAAAATATAAGTAGAGAGATAGTTTAACAAACTAAGATGATTACTGAGAACATTGCTAGTTTTGTAGTAAATATTTTTTATTAGGAACTATGTAGTACCATGAAAAGAACCCTGACTTTAGGCACAGAAAGCTTGGGTTCAAGTACTGTTACTTTCACTATCAATACCTTGAGTGAGTCAGTGTCTGGGCTTCCTTTTATCATCTATAAAATGGGAGAGGGGGGATGGAATTGAACTAGGCAAGTTTCTAAGGCTCCCTTAAGTCATCTGCGAATGGTATTTAGCTGTTAAAACAGGTGACTTTAAGAGATAGTGCCTCAGAAAAGATAATGTAGTAAGAAAAATAGATGTAGGGTTTGGGCTTCAGATTTAGTGATATTATGGATAATCTGCTCTTTTTTGAATTTGGGATGAAAATATAACCAGTGGATTTTGTGTTTTTTTTTTTAAACATTTGAACCATAATGTTTAACCTTTTAAAACTTGATGTTATAATAGTTTGGCCATTAGGCAAGATTAAAATTGTTTAATTGGCATAGGCTCTGGCCCTTGTTATGGTTTGCTAAAGTTGAACTAAAAACATTATAAGTGTATACTCTAACAGAAATTCGCAAAGTTTTTGTGAGTTGGAGGCTACAATGACCTGATCTGTTTCTTGCAAACGATGTGGAAAAGTTGTGACTTAGATACATCAGTGGACCCATATCTTCAAAACTTTGGGTACTCTGAATCTCTACCTGTGTGCTTCATAGTCCATACACTGAAAATTCTTCTCTGACTCTTAATATTTTGTAGAGACCATTGCTTGGAGCAGACCACTTCCTTTTCCAGTTGTCCTTGTCTTTCATGCATCTGTACATACTTGGTATATACAAGTCATTGTTGGTAATATACTTTAATCTGCATAACCCCACCACCACCATTAGGCAGCTGGTGATGAAGTGGGGAGAAATGGACCAGGAGTTAAGAAGAACTGAGTTCAAATTTAGCCTCAGGCCCTCACTGGCTCTGTGACACTGGATGAGTCACTTAACCTCTGTTTGCCTCAGTTTCAGATATAATGTGGGGATAATAATAGGGTTGTTGTGAGAATCAAATGAGGTTAATGTTTGTAAAAAGTGTTTAGCTCAGGGTCTGGCACATAGTAGGCACTTTATAAATACTTATTCACTTCCACCATCTGTCTTGGCCTGCAGTTTTTGGTTCTTGGGAGATCCTGGTGCTCCCAGTGTGTTTTATAGTCATTGTAGCATCACCAAGAGAACACTGGTGTTAAAGATGACTTTTTAAAAAAAAAAATATGTGTAAGAAATATACAGTTTAAGATTAGTTAATGGTACTATGTCGAGCTGTTAGTGCTTCATAAATAAATGCTTGGTGGAAGAATATTGTTCTGTCCTGGAAGTCCTACCAAATAGCAGTTTCCTAATACATTTATGATAAGACTTATTTTTTTTTTTCCTTCAGGAACTCAGCTATTATTTAAATCCACAGCCACCTGATATTTTATTTGGAGTGCCTCATTCTCTGTAAATGCTATTGACTGGGGGTGAGGTGGTAATTACTTGAAAACTAGCAGCAAACCAGCTTACATTGGTAATGGACAGTTCCAAAGAAGAAATGCTTCTAATATTTTTGGTCAGGTGTTTAAATTATATCTTTAGTGTAGTGTATGGGTAGTTTCCAAGATAATGTACCCCAGTGAACTCTGTTGTTGTCAAGGATCTCTGCACTAGGGGAGTAGGAAGGACTCTTCTGGCATTGCAGTAGGAGGGATGTGGTCTTAGTTGAACAAGCTGAGTTTAGGACAGATTTTTCTCTGTAAGAAATAGGTGGTTAGGTTCCCAGACCAACATGTAAAAGCCCATTTAACATGTAACATATCTCAGTAATATTTTTTGTCCATCAGTCTTTAGTTTGTGACTGGCCCAGAAAAGTCAGTTCTTAGTAGTTTTTTAATAGATATGGTGACTGAAGAATAGTGGCAGTCTGTCTATTTGTTTCAACATAACTGGTTATCACTGATTATTACCGAGTGAAGTGACAATAACTTTAGTTGAACCAT